TAAATTTTGTTCGTATCTGAAAAAAATCGTAGAATACGAAAACATTGGTGAATGCCACAAATTATCCTAAATCACTCGTACGCACAACTTAAGAACAAATCTGTGCGTACGAACGGTTCTTGCATGAGGCCCAATGTTTTTATTAGATATGATTTAAGACGGCAGCAGTCTACTTTGTTTTTGCAAACTGTCTCCTCTGTTTGGTCAGAGTTAACCTATTTATACAAGTTGAGCTCAGTCAAGGAGTTATCTAGAACAGGTAAGATATTTTGTGTTGATTACACTGCCACAGAACCTCACTTTTGAAGAACTGAGATTATTTGCAAAGTTGAACTTTTGAATAATTTGTTTAGGAACTCAAATTCAGTTCAATTTTTCAAGTTATAACTATGAAAAAATCTCTTAAGGATATTTGTAATTTGACCCAGGTTTATGTTTTTTACCTATAGACCTGAACAGAAAGGCTGACTACATCTATCCCCATATACTGGATGTCAGTGTGAGGTTAAGGGCCAGCTTTAAACTACTAACTCACCTCCACCAACAATAAAACCCAATTTACTGTATTTTACAGCATCCAGGAACTCGGCTACACAGATCCAATAATAAGGTGATGACAGGAGCGTACGCTGAGACTACTCGCAACATAAGACGTCCGTGATGGGTCGGTCCCTGACAAACTGACAAATGCTGCCAGATTTGATGAATTTGTGAGCCTGCGTATAAATATGTGGGACAGTCTTTGTATTTTCTATACATAAGAGTATAAAAATAAACTAAACCTACATCACTGACTCAAGCTGAGCTTGAAGTTAAAGGTATGTCACATCTGCAAATATATATATATATTATATATATTAAAGCATCACAAGCAAGTTTAATAACATTAACCTAAAAAAAGATAAAAATAACTGCAATCTAAGCCTTTTTACATAAAAACCGAAAGGCTGATTGAACATAAAGTTGTCTGAAAGTGTTATGGAAGACTATGATTTATCCACAACTAGGTGGCCACCAAGAAACTTTTACACCAACTCCCCATCTCATCAAAACGGATCAGATTCTCTGCACCATTAGTTTGCCTTTATTCTCAGAGTAAAGAAACATTACAAGGAACTTAAGAATATTTAGCTAACGGGCATGAAATCTGAGCAGAAAGAGGAGGATGTGGTCAGAAAAAAAGATACTAAAGCAGAATTTGCATGCCTCCTTAAATGAAGCTTTCTGCAGCAGGGGGAGCAGGGGAAATGGGGTCGAAGCAATACAGAAGGATCGCTCAGGAAACAAGATGTTTCAGGCTGGACCCGGTTTAAAGATTAAACAGGCAAACAGGAACACAGCCCCCCCCTCCCCTCCCCCCAGCACTCCGTCGCTCTTCTTAAGGACTTAAAGCGAGCAGAGAAGGAAGCAAAACAAAAAAGCCTCAGAGCAAGCACACACCCACTCTGTGGTCAGCATGATGGATGGAGCTGGCTGCCGCTCCGACACGGAGAGTCATAATGCAGGCTTTACATTCACAGAGACTCCCAGCCTCATCAATGCGCTGACAGAACAAATGAGTTGTAGCACGGGCGCAAATCCTGCCTCATGAGCTCAACGTCTCATGTCGCCGCTGCGAGAGGTCGCTCGTTAAGCCTCACTGCGCCCATCTTCTCACAAATGGTACACGAAGGTAATCAGGGAAAACACATTTTCTCCCAAAGCCCAGCTTCACTTTCACTGATTAATCGAGTTGTATCGAAGGTTAACCTTAAAAGACATCATCAAAGCCTGAATCTTCTCTTTAAAAAAATGCATAAGCAGCTTAAACTACCTGTAACACATCAGTGAGATTATTGTAAAAGTAAAAGGGGAACGCATGTAATAAAACCACTTGGAATCCCTTTTTAAAGCTGATATACTTCTTACATGAGTCGTCTATCAAACAACAACTGAACTACTGAAACCCCCCTCTATTGCTGAGATTTGCTGGACATTCATGATGCAGCGTTGGTCGGGGCCATGCATTCGACAGCTTAGCCTTTATAGTTACGTATGATTTGGCCCCTGTGCGATTCAACTCCAAGTGCAGGAGAACAGCGTCGGTTTAAATCTACAAGAGGTTAAATATAATTAACTTGCAGCTTTCAGCAGAGATATAAAAATGTTCTGGTATCCTCGGTCTTATGGGAGACCCTACCACAGATGCGACGTCATGCTCGAGGCATGGATCAGGAGACAGCTGCGTGAAGATCCAACGTGAAAGTCTTTTTTTCTCTTTATCTGCTTCTATTGCTCTCGTTCCACGACTGGTGAAGGACGTGTTAGATTGTGTGAAGTTTAAGAGTTGTCCTTCAGGTTGTCCTCGCCGACCCCCTGAGCCGACAGCTCTGTCAACACATTGTCCAAGTAGTTGGGGTCAGGGTAGCCGTGGCCGGTCAGGTTGGAGCCGAACTCGGTCTTGTGGTGAATCTCGTTCCACACCACCGTGTCCGACTCGCCGGTGGTGCTGGATGTGCCGATGGTGAAGATGAGTCGGCGGTCCCAGGCCATGATTAGCAGCTTCAGGACCTGGAGATAAAACAAGTGGAGGAATTATAAGGGAAACTGTGGCTGTGTCCAAATTCAGGGGCTGCGTCCTTCGAAGGATTTGGTCTTTGTGGGCCGAGTCCTTTGTCGACTGTGAAGACCGGAAGAAAGTTGCTGTAATTTTGGACGGTCTAGCCTTCAGCTTTACTCCCACCCTGACCCCAGCAAATGCCCTGTCACCTAGCATATGTGATGGTGCTAAACAGAAGCAATGAAGATCAAAATTGGATCGAAATTAGAAAAAAATATTAATATATTATTATTAATAATAATTTAAATTAACAAAATTAGCTTAGAGGTAATAATAAGTAAGTAAATAAGTAAGTAAAGTTTTATTTATATAGCGCCTTTCACAGAAATAAATTCACAAGGTGCTGTATATTCAGGGAAAGGGGGAGGGGGCAGTTAAGACCGGTCATGCAGCAAAACACAGTAGCGCTACTGTAACAACAAAACAAACAGAAAAACTAAAAACCCACACAAGGGAAGATGAGGAAAAAAGCAAAAACATCATATTATATCAACACTGTGACACTATGGTGTTTATGAAAAAACCTCTGCATAGAGCAGATGTATTACCCCGGGGAAATAAGTGAGATTAGGGGGGCCTGAAGAATCCAGTCCCCAAAACCAGCACAGCCATAGCTCAGAATATTGATGGTAACTGTTCATTCAGTGTGGCCCTCAGCCTGCTCAGGAAACCAGATTAGACGGGTGAGAGAGGTGGGGGTGGGGGGTGGGGGAGAGTCTTATTGACGTAATGCAGCCAGGAAGAATTTAGTCAACAGCTCAAGGCCGTTGTAGGGGAGAGCCAGATTCTGTAATCAGTTGTTTTGGGAACAGAAGAGTCAGGCAGACGATAACAATTTTCCATCTGTTTTAATGTCTGCTGGTGCATCTCAAGGTGGCGTATCCAATCAGACAAATAAAATGTGGACAAATTCCATCGAGCTGATCTATCAGTTTTCTCCCACATCAATTCCATCTGGCCAGCAAAGTCCAGGAACCACAGCCGGCCCGTGACCCTCAACAGAACCGCTTGCAGACCGAGTCCAGCTCGCTCAAGGCAAAATGTCCGAGTGCTGATAGAACGGCCATCCGTTAAACTGGTCAGGCAGCCAGGAAATGAACAGAATAGCCACCGACGCTGTTTTGTAGAACACCAGGAGACCACCAAGCCAATCTGGAGAATCCAGTGATCAGAATCCAGACATAAATCCAGAACAGAGAAGAACAGAGGTCCCACCTTTGACATGTCCTCCCATGGAAGAAAAAACTTGTTCCAAAAATTTATTGAGACCAGCTAACCAAATCCATAAAAATAAAAATATCCATAATTTCTAGTTTCGGATGAAAAATGTAGAGAAGGCTCCAGCAGCAAAGAAGTGACAGATAAGGAAGGGCAGGAGAGAAGGAAAAAGTGTCTTACTCCTCCGAGAGCGGAAACAAAAAATTTAATAAAATAAAAATAATAAAATAAAAAAGTAATACACCATATGAGCTTGTTCATTATGATTTCTGACAAGATTAATATTAAAAAAACCTATCTATGCAAATAACAAAAGCCTAACAACATTTAAAACTGTACTCCTGTCTCTCACTTCAGCGACCGTTACAACAAAAATAAATCTCCCAGTCAGGCTGCAATGAATCTTGGGTAGGGTGGGCTGAAAGGAATCTTCTGGACCCGTCACTCAAATGTGTGAAAAAGGAGGACACATTTGTGGGCACTGCAATTAGAAAAAGCCTTCGAATTTGGACAGCCTTCGGTGCATGGCTGCGATGTAATCAGACGACAGATTTGGCCTTTGAAGGATTCAGCCCCTGAATTTGGACACAGCTAATGGGTCGTGCGTTTGCTTCCTGGTGTCAGAGCTCACCTTTCTGCCTTTCTCGTTGTCAGGCAGGTAGCAGTGTCGAGGGAACCCTCTCGCACTGAACTTCTTCCCGGGGTTGGGATGCTCATTGGTCTGGTAAAATGAAAAGAAAAACAAATATGTTACTCTTTGAAAACCAATTACAAACTAATTGTGTAGAAAATGTCAATACCAAGAAGATGAGCTTATTCCTAAAGTTGCTCACAACGGACAAATATGAGCTATAGAGTAAATACATGTACATCATGGGAGGGCAGAGAAGCATCAAACCTAGAGTAATGTCTCTTCTAATGATGTATTGTTCTGCTTTGCTGACCAGCGTGGTCATGACCTCAAATATTCTGACCCTGGGGACAATAAGGCTTTTCTGCTGGTGGAAAAAAAGGTTATTTTATTGACTCCATTATTCTTAATTTCAGCAGTCAGGAGAAAATAAGCTGCTCTTTCATCTCCTGCTGCCTTTCAGCTAGGGCTGATACTCAATTCACAAAAAACCAGAAACCCGACATCCTAAGTCTGAACCTCCAGACTACAGTGTCCAATTTGTCCAAACAAGCCGTCCTTTAGCACAAAATGCTTCAGAAAAGCTGATGAACAGAGGTTTCAGAACAGTCCGTGCAAACAAAACGTCAGTGTGATGGACTGAGTGACATCGGTCAGGGTCTCACCTGGATTCCCGCAGGAATGTCGTAAACGATGCGGATGGTTTTGGAGTCAGGGTACCCGGGCAGGGAGTGGGGGATAACGTGGTACTCCATCTTCCCCGGGGGCTGAGTGCCAGTTTTCTCCCCATAGATGGTTTTACATGTTGGACACTGGAGGCTGCCGTCCTGGTTTGGAGTTAAACACCAATTCAACAGATTTTTATTAATCATACAATAAAAATATTAATGACTGTTATTAATTTGATGGTGTTGTATTGTTTAAATGCTTAAAATGAAAAATATTAATTTTCCCTCACTTTAAATCTAAAGATTTATCTGTATTGCTGATGTGAAGAAAATTGAAATTGCGATGCTTAAATTGATAAAACATTGATTATTAACTTATTATTTAAAGTGACTCAGCATATTTCTTGTGAGGCAGCAAGATTTATCATCTGATTCTGCACCTCTCCTCAGTTGCAGAGCGTTATGATGAGTTTCAGCTCATTGTTTTACTGGAATTGTTGAGATGCTGCCTTACTGATTTGGTCAGCTTTATTGCTCAGTCTCACCACTCTCACAGCGCTGTTTTAGGCTGCAGTGGCCAGCGGTTTTCAAAAACCCAAAATAAGCTGACTTTACTGCACCAAACAGAAGACAAACAGCAACAAGTTTGTGAACATATTTAGCTAATAAAGAGAAAACAATATATATTTTAAAAATCTCTGTTTTTGTGCTCAAAAAGTCTGAAATCAATATCAAACAAGCATGGGCGCAGTTAGTACGGGGGACGGGGGGGACATGTCCCCCCCAGATTTATAGTGACCCTGATCTGTCCCCCCCACTTTCCCTGATAGGATTAGAAAAAATCTGATCAAAACTTATGATTACCGTTCTGTTAGTTCGCTGACGCTCCCACAGAGGAGCAGCAGCAGCAGCTCTCCCCCCTCCCTTCTCTTCCCATCTCTCAGGCTGTCACACAGTATATTCTAGTTAGTTGGGTAAACTTCATGAAACAAATTACTGATCTAAAGACAAACTAGAGCCATTAACAACTTTATTTAAGTTTCATTTCTAGGAAGTGGTAGAAATTGTTTTTCATAATTAGAATTTGATTTTTATATAAAAGATCTATAAATAAATGTCTCAGTCCATCAATCAAAAGCTTTCTAATCAATTCCAAACATCCATGTATCAGTTTTTCTTAATGTTTACATACAGGTTGACAAAACTGAAAAAAAGCAGTTATAGTTAATGTAACCATTGTTTGGCAC